ACTTCTTTATAGATTCTCCATGTGCCATTAGGTAGTAAGTTAAAAGCTAAATGGACTAGTAGCCAGGTATACACAGTAATACTGGATATTTATAATAGGATATTTAGCATATCGCTATACTTTCCTAAAATGAGACATGTCGACATATTCTAAAAATTATTTAAGACATAATTCCAGTTTTAGAGAATGGTACATCCCATCAGAATTTGTCAAGAAATTCTGTTAGAATTTATCATCTAATTCCTATGTTAATAAATCCTAACTGCAAAGACAAACTTACACAACAATTAAAATGACTAAGTTATTTCATTTTAAAGATAGAAAAGGAGCCATGGTAAATCCACAAGCCAAGAAAGGAACTAGAGAATAGTGAGGAACTTTCAGGGGGACTTCTGTGCTATTTTCTTACACATGAAATCAACAAAATAATGACACTGCCTAGGACTTAAAAATATTTTTGTAATAGCGTTTTCTGCTCTATTAGAAAGTAACGGTGGTAAAACTATGGTCAGATTTACAATGCTTGGTCCATAGTAAGTATCCAATAGGTAGTTGAACAAATTGGGGGGGGCGACTTTATGCCCCATATAGAGGGAATTAGTAATAACTGAGCTAGCATTTACTATGGAGCATATAAACTACTCAGTAGCCTCCCAGGCCCAGGAATGCCAATAGCTGCTATGTACTCTTGATCAAGGAGTCCCTGGGTGGCACAAACAGTAAAGCACCTGGTTAGTGGTTCAAATGCACCCAGAGGCACCTTGGAAGAAAGGCTTGGTGACCTACTTCTGAAAGATCACAGCCATGAAAAGTCTATGGAGCACAGTTCTACTCTCATCACATGGACCCACCCTGAGTCAGAATCAACTGGCTGGCCACTGGCAATCTTGAGTGTGTTGCTTAAGGGATTTGAATTAGAGGTACTTTTGGATCCTTCAGCCCTTTGGACCATCATTTTCATGGCACCTACATACTGCAGAGATTGCATGGGTATAAGAAGATAGACAAAAACAGTGTGGGGCACCACAACACTTCTGATTTTGTATTTTCAGTTCAAACTACCCTTCAAATCCAGAGAAATTTCATCTGTTCTCATCTTTAAACAGCTTTAAAAAAAATTCATCTAACAGCCTAGATAGTTCTGTCAGTGTCTTCATGCTGACAGTCACAGGGACTTATTTTGCAAGCTTTAAATCAGATATGACTGCCAGAGTAAAGTGAAGGCACCACAAGAATATTTCAGTTTAAGTCAAAACAACTATATGGTCAAGAATATTCTTTTAAATGAGAATTAAAACTCACATCAAATAATGTGCTGGGACTCTAGTGTATAAGCCTCTTTCTGAGTAGCTCCCTGACTTTTAGTAAAACTGCCATTTTAGTGTGCTTGATATTTTAATCCAAACTGTGCTTCATAGAACGATGGCTATCAACCTAATGAATATGCATTAACCTCATACAATTAAGTTGTCTGGTGGTTCTAGTTGTATGTCGAGAGTTTTCAATATGATCATGTTTATTTTCAAACAGCTTTATACCTTTAAGGGTGCACAGATTGAAATTTTTTTTCTTTCAGTTTCATGTCAGAAAAAATAACACTGACTTAAGGTAACCAGGGGGTTAGTAAAAGGGGGTTAAATTGGATAAGAAAGACTGGGTAAATACATCTGCTGCAATTCCTAAGGCAACAACCCTGTCAGGAAGTATTACATATTCATATTTTTTTTAGAAGTTTAGATGTTGCCACTGCACTCTACAAAATGTTTAACAGACTAAAAACTGATAATATGATAAAACCTTAACCAATTTACCTTAAAATATAAGAAATGTCCCTCAATTTGTAAGTAACAAAGCAACATTGCTTCTGCATGAGAAGGAAGTAGAAAGGTTCATGAAACTCACACCAGTTTGAAAGTAATGAGTATATTTACCTGCTGCAAAAAGCATGACAGCAACAGGTCTGTAGAAGCGCCTCCGAGAACCCACGCAGATAGAAATCAAGCCCACCAGGAATGCAATAAGAATGATGGCGGCACCGCCCAAGAGCAAAGCCAGAGTAGCAATCTGCCAATCTGGAAAGAAAAAGAAAGTCATTGTTTTTAAGCAGTTAAGTCGTCCAAGAACCAATAGAACTTGATTGTACTGCATGCTAAGCATCCTTTGGGATTTAAAATGTTTTGTAAAAGAAATTAATATAAGTGCTCTTATTCAGAAAAGGCTCCTGTGCTAAGATCAGCATAGTTCTTAGCATGCTTTTTTCCCCTAAGACTCTATTAAGCATTCATGTTAAATCCGGTGCCCCCTCCGTGACCTATTTTCATTACTATTTAATTTTTTATTGGGCTATAGCATATATAAGGAGCTCTGGTAGCATAGTGCCTAAGGCACTTGACTGCTAACCAGAAGGCTGGTGGTTCAAACCTACCAGCCACTCCTCGGAAGGAAGGTTGAGCAATCTACTTCCGTAGTGATACTGCCTTGGAAACCCAAGGAGGGGTCACTGTGAGTCAGGTCCGACTCGACGGCATACAACAACAACAACATAGCATATATAGGAGCTCTGGTGGCACAGTGCTAAAGCATTTGACTGCTAACCAGAAGGCTGTTGGTTCAAACCCACCAGCCACTCCTGGAAAGGAAGATGGGACAATCTACTTCTGTAGTGATACTGCCTCGAAAACCCAAGGAGGGGTCACTATGAGTCGGAGTCCACTTGACGGAGTGAGTTTGGTTTTTTGGTATAGCATATATAATGTTCACAAATCTTAAGTATAAAAAAGTAGAGAAGTTGATGAGTTTTTATATAAAACTATACATCCATGTAACCATCACCCAGATTAAGATATAGAATATTTCTAGCACCCACAAGTTTCCCTTGTGTCCTTTCCCAGTCAGTCACCACCCTTCCATCCAAGCTACTGTCTGACCTCTATCACCACAAATTAGTTTTACCTCTTCCTGAACTTCGTATATAAATGGAGTCATCCAGTATGTACTCTTTCATATCTGGCTTTTAAGTCAGTGGTATTTATTTTGTCTGGCTTTTATGTCTGTCATATTGATGTATGTTGTTGCATGAAGCAGTAGTCAAACCAAACCAAACCCACTGCCATCGAGTTGATTCTGACTCATGGCAACCCCCAGTGGGTTTCCAAGGCTGTAAATCTTTGAGGAAGTAGACTGCCCCGGTCTTCCTCCTGCAGAGCAGCTGGTGGGTTTAAACCACCAACCTTTTGGTTAGCAGTCAAATGCCTTAGGCACTGTGCCTTCCTTAAAAATCCCGTTTTTGCCTTTTTATTTTCCCCCTCTACTAAAAGCAGGTCTGCCAGCAAATTAACACCAGGTTTGCTGTCCTTTAGTTTTTCCCTCTTTTTTGGTTTCATTCCAGTCTTAATGTGTCTGTACCACCCTGGGGGTGTACCCAAGTGGCAAAATGGTTAAGCACTGGACTACTAACAAAAAGAAGCTGCCAGTCAGAATCTACCAGAGATACCCCAGAAGGACCGACTTGAGGGTACAGCCTTGAAAACCCTATAGAGTACACTTCTATTCTGTAATAAATGTGTTGCCATGAGTTGGAACTGACTCGACAGCCACTGTTTTTTTTTTTTTTTTTTTTTAACCACCTTGGGGACAGTGTTTGAGATTAAGTATTGCCAGGGAGCAAGTGTGAACTCTAAATGGCTGCTCAGTCCCCTTCTTCATTTACTCAGTAAGCATGTATTAAGGAGCTCTGGTGGTGCAGTGCCTATGGCATCTGACTGCTAACCAGAGGCTGGCAGTTCAAACTCACCAGCCTCTCTGTGGAAGGAAGATGAGGCAATCTACTTCTATAAAGATATACCGCCTTGAAAACCCAATGGGGTTTCTGTGAGTTGCAATCAACTGGATGGCAGTGGGTTTTGTTTTGTTTTGAAGCATATATTGACCACATACTACTGTATTTTTATGCAAAGAGAGCATATTATGCCAGAACTGTTCTACTTAATTTCATCATTTCTATGTGTAATATGGTGTGGGTGTGTTATTGGCAAAAAATACCATAGAGGTAGGCTAACATAGACATACTTCTAAAGAGCCTCTTACATACTTAGTAAATCATAAACCTCATCCAAATGTACTTGTCATTTCTCACAAAATAAAGTCCTAGAAATAGTATGGCAGAAAACTGGCCAATTTTTCATTGCATAAGGAGTATAGATGTTTTCTTAGACAAAACACGTCCGGAAGCACCACATACTGGGGAAAGCAGCAGTCTTCAGTGGTGGTTGTTTACAGTCCCAGGCTCCCTCTCTGGCCCTCAGTTCAATGAACATTCAAGAAATGAAAACAGATTTTAATCTGTGGTTACATTGTAATGTATCCTATCTAAAGTCAAGATCTCATGATATTGAGATGCTGCACTCTGAAATTATCCCTGTGGTAAATTCTCAACACACAGTTAGCCACCGTAGGATAAGGGATGAGTCAAGGAACTTATAATCCCCTATGATTTCTTTTATGTATTGTTGCATATTCCTGTTTCAACCACCCCCTTCCACATCCTCTCCCCATGAGAAATTCTGGGTGTAAAAGTGGCACTGAACTAGACCTAGCACTGTGCACAGGAAACAAACAAACAAGGGTAACAGAACAAATTCATGCTTCTTAAAATACAAAATGAATCTCAACAAAATAAGGCCTATTTTTATGCCATTTATTTGTAACAAAGCCATATAACTTCAAACAAAAGCGTATCTGACTTTCAACTAGAAGTTAAAAGGACAGCCATACTATGGCTTTTCTATACCATAACAGCATGTAACTTTGAACTAGAAAGCCAAGAGAATGATCCTTACATTTGGAAGTCTCTAAATTTCTTTGAAAAACCTTATATATAGGACCATTATGTTGCACTTTTACATAGTAGAAACTCTTCCGAAAACTTGTGGGTAAATTGAACTTTTTGAAGAACAAATCAAATTTTTATTACATCAAAGTGGGGAACAAAGTGAGGAATAAAATCAATCGATGCATCTATCAATCACATTTCTAGAGAGTTTAAGAGAGCCTGTATTGAATACTTTCTAGTTGGTCTATGATTTTTAGAAAATGATTATTATACTTAGCAATCTTCCCAGAATTATTTTATACAAAAAAGAATTTGTAAAGTATTGGCTTTGTTTCAATCAAGATGCTCACTCATTTATATGTTCATTTATCTAAAAAATATCTTAAAACAGAAGTTTCTTATTCTTGGTAAGCTTTTTCACTCACACAGTTCTATATGAACAGAATACCACACATTTGACTAATTTCATTTTCAATCTAAAATAAATAGCAATTAATTTTGATCACTCATTTCTATCTTAAACATCCCCCCCCCCAAAAAAAAAAGCCAGAACATATGCGGCTTAATTGTATTTTGTAAAAATGACCAAGATACAAAAAACAAGTGAACTTTTCCTGTAAAAAGCCAGATAGTAAATATTTTCAGCTTTGCAGGCCATGGCTCCTGCTGCAATTACTAAACTCTACCACCCTACCATAAAAACAGCCATAGACGATATGTAAATGATTTAGTGCAGTTGTGTTCCCAGAAGACTTTATTTATAAAAACACTTGGTGGCCTGATTTTCAACCACTGACCGCAGTATGTAGACCCCGGGCCTATAATCCATCCAGTCTGGCCCTCCCTATGGGCGAGGTGTGCATCTGCGGATGGAAAATATTGGGGAGGGGCAATTAAGTTGTCAAAGCAATCCCTCAGAGGCTAAGAGGAAGCATAATGTGCTATTTACATAGCACTTACATTCTGGAGGCACAGTGGTTAAAGCTTTGGCTGCTAAACAAAAGGTCCATGGTTGGAGCCCACCAGCCGCTGCATGGGAGAAATATGAGGCAGTCTGCTTCTATAATGATTTACACCCTTGGAAACCCTAGAGGGCAATTCTACTCTGTCCTTAAGGGTCAGTATGAGTCGGAATCAATATGGCAGTGGGTTTGACATATTGTATCAGGTACTATATTTATAGATGATTTAAATAAATAGGAGGATGTGTGTAGGTTATATGTAAATACCACACCCACCTTTTTATGTAGAGGGTAAGTGCAAAAGGGGAAGACATTAAACGAGATACACTGCCACAGTAGCTGCAACAATGACCTCAAGCATAGCAACAATCATAAGGATGGCGCAGGAATGGGCAGTGTTTCTTTCTTTTGTACATGGGGTCACTATGAATCGGAGCCAACTGGACGGCACCTAACACCACAACCACTATTTTATATAAGGGCTTTAGAATCAGCAGATTTTGGTATGCTTGGGGGTCTTGGAACCAATACCCCACCCCACAGCATGGGACGACTATATACCATTTCCAAATGTTGAATGTTTTTCTAGGTAAAGACCTTTGAAACAATGATAAATGCACAATGAACTCAATTTGATAAATGAGTAGTAAGAGTACAAAGTGAGGCTGATCCAACATAGCAACAGAAAACTGCAAAAAATCCTAACCTCACATGATGCTGAATTTCCTTAAAATAGCAATATTGTACTTCATATGGAAAACCAAGAAACCCAATAATAGAAGCCACCAGGAGAATAAAAGTAATTAAAAGAGATTAAAATTTAATTAGGAAGGAAACCTTTACAGCCTAGGAAATAATTCTTAAAAGTAAATGTGCACAGCTTGTTCTGGATTTTCTTCTAAATGTCCCATATTTATTTTTAGTACTGAATTGGTGGCCAGTGAGAAAGTCACTCTAGACATAAAGTCAAAAAGACAGGTCAGCACTGCCACCACTGTTGTGCTATTGCTACCCTTCCCTTTGGTCCATAACCATTAGTATGCCTGCTCAATCAAAAAGACTACCTTTTCCCCAAGAGAGAACAGAAAGGGACCATGTTGGCCATTGCCCTGGTGAGAAGCTGAGGCTGAAACACTGAGGCTATATCCCTGGACAGTGCCAAGTTTGGAATTGTTGGCATCATATCCATTTTTAATGATTCACACACGCAGGTTGGCCAGGACCAAAGTTTGAAATTGCTGACCAGCCAAACGTCAAGCATTAATCTGAAAATATGGTT